TTCTATTCTTAAGGAGAGGAAGGAAGGTCATTCAATTTTGCCTTTTCCTGTGGTTCTGGACTAATGACATTCCACTAAATGTTCGAATTCTGAAATGGCAAAGAAAGTTTCTTTACAATATAACCAGAGCTCTTAGCGACTCTTCCAAGTTGAATTGTGTACGTCCCCAAATTCTGTATGTTTTTGCTTCTTTCAGAAAACATCCCAGAGAAATGGACCCCGGAAGTCAAGCATTTCTGTCCCAATGTGCCTATCATCCTGGTTGGGAATAAGAAGGATCTTCGGAATGATGAGCACACAAGGCGGGAGCTAGCCAAGATGAAGCAGGCATGGTCTGGGGCTGGGCTCTGTTTCCTTGTAGCATTCTTTAACCTGGGCCTCAGGACTACAGATTCAGAGGACCCATCAAAAACCCACACAGGCAAGGCTGTTTCAGAGAGGCTCAGAACTCCTTTCTTCTTCCCTCATCAACTGTGACCTGCACAGATGATTCCTAAGGTCCCTTAGTCCTATGAGATGGAGTGCCTCTGAGGTAGTCAGTAAAGACTACCAACCTCCCAAGAGGCCATCACAGCAGTAGTCAATGCTCCAGAGGCAGAAACTTAAGGCATTCATTCCTTGGTGAGATCAAAGATAACATGAGTTGCAACAGAAGGATCAGGAAATCTTGAGGGCAAGGAGTCCAGACGCACACAGAGATCATTTCCTGAGTGGTTGCCTAGTTTCTCCTACTGAGGCTTCTGTAGATATCTGAACGTGAAGATTAGACTCTACAAGGAGACTTCAGAAAGTTCATGGAAATTGTCCTGACCTGGTGTGGTGCCCTGAGTAAATGTGCTGGACTGCAAGGTTGGTTGTTCAAGCTCACCAGCTACTCCTCGGAAACCCTGTACAGGGTCACTGAATCGGAACCAACAGTGGGCCCAAGGCTACGCCCTTTACTCAAAGTTGTCCTCTGAAAATCAAAATATGGACCTAGTAGTGTTGGATGAATAAATCTTTATTGTAAAAAATAATTTTTTTAAGTTCATAGAAGAATTCCATTATCTTTTAATTCCATTTGTTTTGTAAACTTTAAAAAGTCCATCTCTTTACTCTTGCATCTTAACTGTGAGGTACAAGGAGAAAAACTGCATGACTCCTTTAAGATTTTAATAGAAATCTCTTTAGTTAAATATCGAAGTTCATCTTAGGTTCTTCTTTCTTCCAAGGATTTGAACATAATTTAGAAAAGATCTTTGCCACTACATAAAAAACATCGTCTTTTGTACACTGTCCACTTTATTTTCTTTGAAAGCGTCACCAGCAATGCATTTAACATACACTTTTCTAGCAACATTCTATTGCAAATGCCATTGTATTTTCTAGGACAATAGAGACTTTATTTAGAGCTCTCACCAGAATTGTCTCTAACATCCATAATTCTACCCAAAAAATCTCTCCAAAACAATCTAGGCATTTACTGTTGTTGTTGTTGTTAAGTGCTGTGGAATCAGCACTGCTCCCAGGAGCAGCTAGTAGGTTTGAACTGCCAACCTTGCAGTGAGCAGCCCAGTGCTTAGGCATCTTAAAGCTTTTCCAGCCTCTACCCATTACCCAGTTTCTATATTGCTCCCACATTTCAGGTATCTGTTAGATCAGTCCCCCACTCTTGTAGCACCTAATTCTAAATTCTGAAGTGAGGTATTTGGTAAACAGATTTTCTCACAGTTGAGGGGTCTTGAAGTCTTAATTCAGATTAAGAATGAAGACTTCTTAATTAAGAATTAAGACTGTGGGATCTAGGAGAAGGTTGTTTTGTGGGCTCTAGAGGAAGAGCCAATCTCTGCTTATCTGATTGCTTGTTTAATCTCTATCTGGTATAGCGCTATGAATTAATGCATCAGACTGCAAAGCCGTTTAAACGGCAAGGTTGGTGGTTCAAGTTTCACTAGCTGCTTCTCGGAAATCCCATACAGGGTTGCTATGGGTCAGAACTGACTCGACAGCACTTAACAATAACAACAACATATCTCAAAAGAGTTGGACTAAAAACATACCTTACATGAATCCTGTGTTGTTATTAACATTACAGAGAGCCCATTCCAAAATGGGATTAGAAGAGGCTTTTCAAAGTTCTTTGGGGAAAATGAAAAGATAAAGAATTTTTTCCACAAACTTTGAAGCCCCCATGTATAACATAGGCAGAGAGTAGGATTCATAACATTTGGGTGGGGGACACAATTCTACCTATAATACCCCAGAATAGCATCTTGAATTTTGTCCTTGATTCTTTCATTAATCTCCCAGAGCTTCTGTGACCTTTTCCTTTTTTGTCTCTACTTCCCAGAAATGCTAGTTTGATGGGCATTTTATATTGGGGGACAGGGTATGCCACTAGTGAGTTTCAAAATTCCTTTAGACAGAACTTAAAAGAGTTTGGCAGCTTTGAAAAGAAGTCTTGTAGATGAATTTGAACACTCTGCATACTGATTATGTGTAATTGTGACAGTTAACTGAAAGCATTCGTTTCTCTTTGCTAGGAGCCGGTCAAACCTGAAGAAGGCAGAGATATGGCAAATAGGATTGGTGCTTTTGGGTACATGGAGTGTTCAGCAAAGACCAAAGATGGAGTGAGAGAGGTTTTTGAAATGGCCACGAGAGCGGCTCTGCAAGCCAGACGTGGGAAGAAAAAATCTGGGTGCCTTGTCTTGTGAAACCTCGCTGCAAGCACAGCCCTTATGCGGTTAATTTTGAAGTGCTGTTTATTAATCTTAGTGTATGATTACTGGCCTTTTTCATTTATCTATAATTTACCTAAGATTACAAATCAGAAGTCATCTTGCTACCAGTATTTAGAAGCCAACCATGATTATTAATGATGTCCAACCCCTCTGGCCCTCTAGGGCCCCTCTGACACTGCTCTAACAGCCCTCCTCTGCACTCCCACCTGACACACCAGGCGCTAATTCAAGGAATTTCTTAACTTCTTGCTTCTTTCTAGAAAGAGAAAAAGTTGGTAACTTTTGTGAATTAGGCTGTAACTACTTTATAACTAACATGTCCTGCCTATTATCTGTCAGCTGCAGGATACTCTGGTGAGTCACCACTTCAGAACTTTTCTCTTAAGTGTTTTCATTGGCACAGCTCTGAAGTGGGCATCCAGTTTTTTGAAAATGTGCTCAGCCAGAAAGGCCCAAATCCATGCAGCTCTGGCAAAGTTACAGTTCTGTGGTTTCATGTTAGTTACCTTATAGTTACTGTGTAATTAGTGCCACTTACTGTGTGTTACCAAAAATAAGTATATCTACCCCAGACTAGATGTAGTATTTTTTGTATAATTGGATTTCCTAATACTGATATTTGTCATCTCCGCAGAAAGTGTATTGGTTTTTTTAAAAAAGAAAGTGTATTTGAAAATAAAATCAGATGGAAAATTCCTTATAAAAAATTCCCGTTTTGTCAGTTTCTCTGATAAAGATGGCTATACGATCACTTCGATCACTTTTCAGCCCATTTATCCCAGTACCCCTTCCCCTGAGCTGGGCTAAGTATTATAGGAATTTGGTTTCACGCTTGAGGCAATTAGACACTTTGGAAGATGACTTAACCTGTCTCACCTGGACTGCAGGGTCTGGTTCTAGTTCACAGTGCTCCTTTCTTCTCACTACGTCCAGGTTCCTTCCCAGAGGAGCCAGCAGCCCTCTGGGGCAGCACTCGGTTTCTTCTTTCCAGCTGATTAAACTTTTTTTCTGTATCAGTTAATTTTTCCAACTACTAATAGAATAAAGGCAGTTTTTTAAACTTCCTGTATCCTGGTGTTTGTGTTGCTCTCTCCAGGCATGGGAGAGAAGAATGAAAGAAATCAGGCAGCCTGGCATAACTAACTCACCCTGAGAGGCCTCCTAAACGCACTGTGCCAGCTGCCTCCCTTTGTCACTCATCGCTACCTGACTTCTCATAAAGTGGAAGCACTTAAGGCTGTGTCACATTCAAGTTCAGAGTATGGGTGGGAATACAGCCTACTACTAAGGAGACACGATGGACATTTCAGGCAGTCATTGTGCTGGAGAATTTCAGGAGTGTAACCTCTTCCTCTAACTCCACCTCTATTTTCAGTGTCTGACTTCCAGCCTGAACTCCAGGTAAAATAGACTCAGGACTGAGGATGACCTGAAATCCTCTGGGTTACCTTAGCTCTGTGTGCTATTGGTCCCTATTTACATACGCTGGTGCAAGGCTTTGTTGATCCCTGGAGTTTAGGGCTCTGCTTTTAAAACCTGCTTATAAGGCAGGGGGTGGAAAGAAGAGAGAAAGGTGAAGGCGCTCTTGGCAACCCCAGAATTAAAGAGGGTCGGGGGATAGGGCCATTTGTGTTGAGGTCAGAATTTAGTTTAGAGCCCTGGTTGCTCATGGCATTGCCCAATGCTGCTTCCAACTTGCCGTTGCTAGAGCTGCAGAGCCTTGGCATGGAGAGAACTTTGCCTTGGCAGGTGCTGCCAAACACACATCACCACAATTCACAACTCACTCCATACATATGGTGACAGTAAGGCACATTGTAACATGGCACAGGAAGGGCCGGGTGGGCACAAGGTGCGCCCGCTACTGCTACCATCATTACATAGCGTCTAACCGGCCTGACACCAAACAATCTTAGAGAAAAGGATCCACAGTCCTCGGGCCAGAAACGATACCCAGAGCGTCCCTAGGCTAGGGGGTTCGGTTCTGCGGCTGCCTGAGTCCAACTAGACATGTCCAAGGTACCACCCAATCTGGGTGGTGCCCGCGTCCGGCTGGACCGTCCCCGCCCATCTCTCGATTCCCCAGTCAAGGGAGGAGCCCAAGCTTGCTGGGGACAGCAGAGGAAGCCGGATGAGGCGGGACCCTTAGGCTGAGGGGGGCAGGGCCGGAAAAGTGCCAGTGCCACGTGACCCTGCCTTGTGCTTGTTATAAAGGAGGTGCTTCCTTGTCTAGCCTGTTACTGGATCCAAAACCTTTTCCATTATTCCGGTATTATCATGTGTGCCGCTTTCCTCGCGGGGGCATCCCCGCGCTCAGTGCATGCCTTCTTTGCGCGCCCGCTGACCGGCGGGGAACCTGTGAGCCTGGGCTCACTGCGGGGTAAAGTGCTGCTCATCGAGAACGTGGCGTCGCTCTGAGGCACCACCGTCCGGGACTACACCCAGATGAATGATCTGCAGCGGCGCCTAGGCCCCCGGGGCCTGGTCGTGCTGGGCTTCCCATGCAACCAGTTTGGGCATCAGGTGCTCGGGGCGGGGCGGAGGTGGGCGTACAACGAGTTGGGGGCTTCAGCAGGGCAGCCAGAGGCTCTGAGCGCAGAGTGGGGGAGCCAACAAATCGCTTCCCTCCGGGCTTTGTTCTCGGCTGTAATTCTGGCCGGCCCCGGAGTTGTGCAAGAATGGCAACGGCTCAATGACTCATCAAAAACTTTGCAGTCAGTAAGTAGTTTCCCCTTCCCGCGCGTCCCCCAGTCCAAGCAACCTTTCTTTCTCGCAGGAGAACGCCAAAAACGAAGAGATCCTGAATTCCCTCAAGTATGTTCGACCAGGCGATGGGTTCGAGCCCAACTTCACCCTTTTCGAGAAGTGCGAGGTGAACGGCGCACAAGCCCACCCACTCTTTGCCTTCTTGCGAGAGGCCCTGCCAGCGCCCAGCGACGATACCACTGCACTCATGACCGACCCCAAGCTTATCACCTGGTCTCCAGTATGCCGCAACGACATTGCCTGGAACTTCGAGAAGTTCCTTGTGGGCCGTGACGGTGTGCCTGTGCGCAGATACAGCCGCCGATTTCCAACCATTGACATCGAAGCAGACATTGAGGCTCTACTATCCAAGGAGACCTAGGGCGCTCCCCCATCCCATATTGCCTGGCAGTCACTATGTTGCCTTCTTTGGGGGGGGTTTCATTAATGATGGTGTTTCTCTAAACCTGAGTGGAGAAGCACCTGACGTCTTGGAAATTTCCCCCCAGATGGGCACTAGACCTGCCCGTCCCAACCTAGCCTTCCATACTAAGACAAATCTCCCCACTAATAAAGTGCCAAGTGTAATGAGAACTGTGTGTGTGTCTTCAGTGTTGGCCTGAAATACCTTTCCTGCTAATCTGCAACCTCACTTCTCCCATGTCTTTTGTCCTAGCCAAGCCTGAGCTTCCCTTATGTCTATAGTGTATGAAATCTAATATTTCTTTTGCAAGAAACCAGGCTCCTATCCCTTCATTTCACCTGCCAGGGGATGCAGTAAGGCTATTCCATGGTAGTATTTTAACAGAAAATTCTTTCCACCACTACCCAATTCACCTTCAACTCCACCCAAAAAAAGACTTCACCTACCAGTAGTGATTGTGTGCCATGGAGTCATCTTTATGGGAGCAGAAAGCTTTATCTTTCACATGCAGAGCCCCTGGTAGTTTTGAACTGCTAATCCTGAGTTTAGCAGCCTGATTCATAAACACTACACAACCAGAGCTCCTTAAGCTTCTCTTTTTTTCTGGTTGTTAGACCCTGAAAGGATCTTCAGGAAACTAACATAAAAATAACAGGGAGGAGAACAAAAGTTGAAGTGGAATAGAGGTAAATGTTGTTAACTGATGGCACAGAGGGAATTACAATCATGGTAATGAAACAAAGTATTTGATTTGTTGAATGTAAAACTAAACAGATGATCTGCTCTGTAAACCACTCAATTCACATTCACTCTGACTTCTCCAAGTGTGCCCATACAAGCCCATTTAACACAGGTGGAAGCTGTACTGTGTTACAAATTGTTTTCCTATTACTTTACTATAGATCTTTTCATAATTGCTATCAAGTGTTTATACTGGTTGCTGCCTCTCATGTACTCGGAGCAAGACCATAACTGGCCCTTCTGATTAGGCCCTGGCCTTTAAGCAGATGGGGTGCAGTCAGGCACAGGAAATGAGCTGCTGCTTCTCAGGGCTTTAGTCAGAGTCAGCTTTAGTCTAACCTCCCCATTTGTTGAGACATTTGCTACCATTGTGCAGTGTACCCTGAAGGGTCTGGGTGTAGCCTCTGCTTGAGTAGATGAACCTAGATAGCTATTGGCAGGTTCACTCAGCAAGTCTCAAATACATGGCCAAAAGTTCTAGAGTTCCCAGTGTTGGTGCCTAAATCGTGGCTCAAGCCCCTTCCTATGTCTCACAGCTTCCTCAAAAATGGTCCGTTGAGCCCTAAGTGGGGATCTTTCTGCTGCTGATCATCAGATCACCAGGGAACGAAGGGCCCTCTGTACCTTCTCTGGCTCATCTCCTTCCTACTTTAGCAGAGAATTTTCACAGACCACCCTCAGCTTTCTCAACTTTTGAGTACTTCCTGAGGTGACCCAGGCAGAGCTGTTTCCTGTGCTCAGAATTCCTAGGAGTCTTGATGGCACTTGTGAATGACTGGTCTACCTCCCAAAAAGGTAAAGGCTTAGGAGATAGACTGGGGCTGCACATCTCAGGGCCTAGCATATACATCAGCCAACATGTCAATATAATGAGGAAAACTTTCCTTTTTAACGGGGCCAGGAACTTTGAGGATCATGCGGCACTTACCTTTTTTTTTTTTTTAAGATTCCAGATCTGACTCCTGGAATGAAGAGTAACTTGTATACCTGGGTATATATAGATGCACCCAGGTCATCTATAACAAACCCCTTAGTTCCATAACCCTCTCTTCCTCTCCTTTTACTCCCTCACTGCAACATTGATTCAGTCCTTCTGTGCCAAGTGCTCTGCTGGGTGCCAGCAATATAGTCCTCAGGAAGACAATCCCAAAAACACGTTTAGTTTCACAAGGTAGTGCAGGATGCTTTGAGAATAAATTAGAATAAGTTAGAAGGCCTGGCCCAGTTGGGATGACCATGCTTTTTCTGAAGGAAGTGATAGTGAAGCTGACTAGAGGCCAAGAAGCAGCCAAGAAACACGCTGAAGGAGGGGTGACCAGGCAGGGAGCACAGTGAGCAAGGGCCTCAGATGGGAAGATTGTATTATTGACTGAGATTGGCAACAGATGGAGGAGCAAGTTTCTGGCAGAGCAGCTGTGTTCCATAAGACACCCAGGTAGGGATATCTGGGGTAGGTGGTCCATGAGTTGGAGGTAAAGGTTTGGCCAAGAGTACAGCAGCCACTGGAGAGGATAAGATCACTTCTAGAGAGCTGCAAGGAAAGGTCAGGAGGCCTAGGCCTGACGCCTGTAGATTCACACTCTTTTCCAGATCAGGTAATGAAGAGGCAGCTGGTAAAGAACTAAGGGAAGGGATGTTTTATAAAGGCAAACAGTCACCTGAGACAAGTGTCAGTAGACTGTCTCTCAGCAGGTGCAGTTTCAGGGGGTCAGTTAGAGCTGAAGCCAGATAGTCAATTGCTCAGATTGCCTTGTTTTTGTGATATGTTTCACAGCCCACCTTTCAGAAATGCTAATTTGCAAAGACTAGGGACCTGAGGTCCTGCTCAGTGACCTGCCAGCTGGACCTATGAAGCAAGATTTCATTCTCCAACTCTCCCTTTTCTCTGGAGTCAGTGCAGTCCATGCCACAGTCTCCGGTTAGGCTCCAGGATGGGAACCCAGGACTTCCCAAATGGACTACAGGTTCATCCCCTGAGGCTGCCCAATGACTTACTCCTCCTCACCCACTGCTTTTTCTTATCTGCTTGTGTCTTGAGCTGTCAAGGAAGGGAACAAACTTCCAGTGTGGCTTACCCTAGCTGGGGAACATAATGCCTCTCCATGCTGCCTGCTTTCCTGAAATGAAACTCGTTTCCAACCCTATCTTCTTCAGAAAAAAGTTAAAACTTCAATAGCTTTCTCCACAAGAAATTGAACATCCTCCCCTAACATTAGCATTCTCAAGCATGTGCATAAACACACTCATTCTTTGTCATTCAACCATGTAACTGCTACTGGCCCTGACTTGAGTTCACCCCACCCCATTGTGAATCAGCAGCTCAAATTAATAAGTAAAGGAATAGTAATCACAGTGAGCCTGCCTGAGGCCCTTGTCTTTGGTAGAAGTAGCTACCAGCATTGAGGAGATGGGCCTTTCTTTTTTTAATTTTTATTTTTAATGCCAAATCTGATCAAATGAAGTCAAGCACTTGTGCAATTAGCCCTTGATCAGATGACTTCCTTATACAAACTGTCTTAATCTAATTCTACAAAGAGCCATGAAGCAATTCTATTTTCAGAGAAGTAGTTCCTAGCCTGCTCAGTTTATTAAGTTTCTCAACTGTTAAACTTGTGGGCAATACTGAGTTAAAAAACAAAACAAAAAAAGTACCACTGAAAAATTTCTCTGAGAAAACACGGCATGGATTTATAAAGAACAGGCTAGGATCCCTGTGAGATGACTCTGAATTTGGCAGGTTTCTATTAGTACACTCACCAAAGGCCGTGAATGAACAGGTTTTCACACATGGTGTGACATACCTGGACCTGCCACTAAAAGAAAACCCAACTCTAGCTGATCACACACACAGATTACCAAACACTTGTCGTATTCAAGGCACTGCCATCTTGGAAGTTGGGGAAGATTATATAAATACGCCCAAAATGGCCTCTGTGTATCGGTCATAAGTTATTTACTTCCTCATAACAAACTGAAGTCTGTTAGCGCAAAAAAGTGCCTGTGCCAAACTCAAATTTGTACATATCCAATTGTTTAAAAGTAGTCCAAATAAGCAGATTTTTAGTCTCTTACACCCTGCCTGCTTTACAGACCCAATGAAAATGCTCCTTAACAGCTGTTAGCCGTAGATAAGATAAAACCTTGTATTTCTAAGGACCTCCAGCTGCATCTGTCCTTCTGAGTTCTCTGACCCAGTGACTCCGCACCCATCTTTCTGCAGGAGGATGTCATTCCTCTTCCTAGTTTTACAAAATTGTTTTACATGCCTCTTTCTTTCTGTGCCACTGATCTTTGGAAAAACCTCCAGTTCTCACTTTTTAGGGCTGTCAGTTTATGAACAAACCTGTTGCTGTCCAGTTGTTTCTTACTTATGGTGATATCTTGTGTTACAGAGCAGAAGTGATCCATGGACTGTTCTTGATTCATCTTTATGGAAGCAGAATGCCAGGTTTTCTTTGGTGGTGCCACTGGGTAGATTTGAATTGCCAACCTTTAGGTTCTTGCATTGCTGCTGTTAAGTGCTGTTGAATAGGCTTCGACTCATAGCAATCCTATATAGAGTTTCTGAGGGGCAGCTGGTGAGTTTTAACTGCCAACCTTGTGATTCACAGTCCAATGCTGATCCTACAGTGTCACACTGTTGTTGTAATGTGCCGTGGAGTCGGTTCCAACTCATAGCGACCCTGTAAAAGGGTTTCCGAGGCTGTAAATCTTTACGGGAGCAGAAAGCCTCATCTTTCTCCCGCGGAACCACTGGTAGTTTTGAACTGCTGACTGAGGTTCGCAGCCTGATTTGTAACCACTACACTACCAGAGCTACAGTGTCACACAGGACAAGCATAAAATTTGTGTCTCACAGAGACACAATCAGTACATGTTCTTGTTGTGTTCCACTGAGTTGATTCCAACTCATAGCAACCCTATAGGACAGCAGAACTGCCCTGTAGGGTTTCCTTGTGGTGCTGAGGGTTAATGTGCTGGACTGCAAAGTCAGTTTGAACTTCAAGGTCAGAGATTCAAGTTCACCAGCCACTCCTTGGGAACCCTATACAGGTCATTATGAGTCAGAACTGACTCAACAGTACTTAACAACAACAACAATCTTCGCAGGAGCAGATCCATCGCGTCTTTTTTCCTGTGGAGCAGCTGTGCAATTTGAACTGCAAACCTTTCAGTTAGCAGGCCAAAAGCAGCGGAACTCTTAGCCGCTGTACTAC